CAATCAGAGCACAGGCACTCCTCTTTACAGTAGCCAATCAGAGCACAGGCACTCCTCTTTACAGTAGCCAATCAGAGCACAGATACTCCTTACAGTGACAGGAGGAAGAGGAACAAACATTAAGCACTGAAAAAGGGGCGTGTCCTAATTTATTATTACTCTTTCAAAGTTTCTCTTCTTTTTACAACACACACGCACACACACACACACACACACACACACACACACACACACACACACACACATACACACACACAAATTTGTTGTCTTTTCTAGTCTTGTGGGGACCTTGCATTGTCTTCCATTTCTACAGCCTAACCCTGACACCCCCCACCCCACCCACACAAAACCAGCACAACCAGAACCACTGGTACCAGAACCAGTGGTAGCAGAACCAGTGGTAGCAGAACCAGTGGTAGCAGAACCAGTGGAGGCTGCAGGTCCATCTGAAGGCAACAGGCAGTGTTTTTTACACAAACTGATGTTTCCAGGAAATGATTTTATAACCCAGAATAGTTCTGGCTCTGGTTCTGAAAGGTTCTGTCTTTATTCTGCTGATGAAGCTCTTCTTTCACTTCCTGTCCCTGCAGGTCCCATGACCACAGAGGACATCCTGACTTCCTCTGCAGCCACCAACAAGTCCCCTGAGGTGAGAACCCATCAGAACATCTCGTCTGGTACCAGAACCACCAGCAGCTCTTTTAATCTTGTCATTAGTTCATCAAAGTATTTATTTACTGTAAAATTAACACACATCTGAAGCTACGGTCCTTCTGATCACTTTACCATGTCTGAGGTCAAAGTTCTGACGGGCCACAACTGACCCAGCTCACAGAGACCCTGTCAGACCAGATCCTGGTCCCCTGATTATTAATCTGTGTGTGTGTGTGTGTGTGTGTGTGTGTGTGTGTGTGTGTGTGTGTGTGTGTGTGTGTGTGTGTGTGTGTGTGATGGATCTGTAGGATCCCAGTCCACAGACAGGGATTCTGTGGTGTGTTCTGCTCCTGTTGGTGGTTCTGGTCTCTGCAGGAGGACTCTTCATCATCGGTGAGAAGAAAAACAGCAGAACATGAGCTAAAATCAGCAAAACATGAGCTAAAAGGAGCAGAACATGAGCTAAAATCAGCAGAACATGAGCTAAAATCAGCAGAACATGAGCTAAAATCAGCAAAACATGAGCTAAAACAGCAGAACATGAGTTAAAAGGAGCAGAACATGAGCTAAAAGGAGCAGAACATGAGCTAAAAGCAGCAGAACATGAGCTAAAATCAGCAGAACATGAGCTAAAATCAGCAGAACATGAGCTAAAATCAGCAAAACATGAGCTAAAACAGCAGAACATGAGTTAAAAGGAGCAGAACATGAGCTAAAAGAAGCAGAACATGAGCTAAAAGCAGCAGAACATGAAATAAAAGCAGCAGAACATGAGCTAAAAGGAGCAGAACATGAGCTAAAAGAAGCAGAACATGAGCTAAAAGCAGCAGAACATGAGCTAAAAGCAGCAGAACATGAGCTAAAAGCAGCAGAACATGAAATAAAAGCAGCAGAACATGAGCTAAAAGGAGCAGAACATGAGCTAAAAGAAGCAGAACATGAGCTAAAATCAGCAAAACATGAGCTAAAACAGCAGAACATGAGTTAAAAGGAGCAGAACATGAGCTAAAAGAAGCAGAACATGAGCTAAAATCAGCAAAACATGAGCTAAAACAGCAAAACATGAGCTAAAAGGAGCAGAAC